GTGAGAGTTGCTTTAGTTGGTTTGCAGACAGAATTATATCTTTCTCTGATTTGCCCACATTTCTCTGAGCCTCAGAAAAGGGTCTTATTTGTTTTTCATGAGTCTGAGCCTGGGTGAAATCTTGGGTGAAATCCTGGGTGAAATCTAGATGCTCTGTAAAACATATATACACACATATATATATATATGTGTTTCGGATTTTCCCTTGCGAAATCTTCAGTGAAAAATCATCCACCAATAACCATTGGGAACTTTGCCTTGTGTTTAACTATTGGTGATTGATCTGCACTCACAGATCGGAAAGAATAGGGGGAAGGAGGTAATTGCAGGAAAAAGAGAGAGAGAGAGAGAGAGAGAGAGAGAGAGAAATCCTGCTGTAAAGTGCATTTAAAGGATCTTTCGATGCATCCATAACTCGCAGTCACTTTCTTTCACGCCCCGAATCTTTCGTGCATTTTGCCCCTCATCACTGTGATCTGGAACCGATAACATAATATCAGTTAATAATAATAATCAAAAAAGACGAATAGTCAGAAATAGCTGTTGATGATCGAGTCCCAGGGAATTTGTTTCTTAAAAAAATAGGTTTGGGAAGTGCAGTTCAGAGGCTGTTCTCATGTTGTTGTCGTGTTTATAATAATAATAATAATAATTAATATTTTTAATTGTGCTTTAAACCAAGATGTTACTTTCGTGGTCAGTGTCCACAAAAGCTAATTTTTAACGTGCACTCAACCTGGACTGTCTTTAAAGGGTCAGAGAGAGGGGAGAGAGGGAAAGAGAGAGAGAGAGGTACTGCACTCTACTTGTAATAATAAATACTTCTTTACACTTTGATGCAAGCCTTTCACGTCAGGGGGACGTCTCGAAGCGCTTCACGTGCAAAGGGGGTCCAGTGAACTGAGTGTGTTTTGCGTATGTGCAATTCGAAACGTAGGGTTGTTGGGTAATTGAGCAAAACATAAGCAATTTTTTTTCTAACCCTTTGTTGCTTTTATTCCAGACCTTACGATGAGGGAAGATATTTGGTTTAACCTTTTAGGGAGAGATTTTTTTTTACAAAAAAATGTCACATTAGGTAGTTAGATTCCAGCAATCTCTCTCTCTCTCTCTCTCTCTCATATTCACACTGGATTATTATTATTATTATTATTATTAGAATGAACTAAACACCAATAACTTTCAAAAGTTATGTGAGTAAGAACTAATGTGAGTCAGGACTTTAGTTTATTTAAGATACATACAGTAGTAACTGTGATCCAGGGAGGAGAGACACAGAGAGGTGTTTGCAGGGGAGAAATATACACAGCCCAGTTTTACATGTTATATCTAGTCACATCGCCTAAATCAGAGCTAAATACTTTATTATATATATATATATTTCATGCATTACCTATTTGCAATGATTGTTTTGCATTAGTATTTTTACCGTTTGTTAAAAAGAAACATACAATAAAGAGTTGGGCGAAGTCCCATCGCCCTGTTAAATACAAAGGCTGTGTTAGTCACCTCTTTTCTCGATTTAATAATAATAATAATCTTTTTATTTATCCCCTTGCATCGGTGCAGAGTTCTTGTGTGCGTTTTTTTTATTTTTTATTGAAAGAAGCAAAAATAAAGCAAAAATAAGGCAAATATCCTCTGCCTGTGCAACCTCCGATCCCTATAATATCCACCACACCACAAATATTTATATATACAGTATATATATTTAACATACACCGTCAGTCCACTTCACAGTGTATCCTGTGAAGCGTTTTGAGACGTCTCAACGATGTGATAAGACACTATAGCAAATGCAAGGATTATTATTCTAAAAACAATAGCTCTATTACACATAATGTTTACAGGAAGCAATTGTAGGTCTCCTTAACAATGCATTGAAAGGAATTATTATGCAATTAAAAACACTGCTTTAATTAGTCATTCAATATATAAATAAGGACAAGGATTGTTATTGTTATAAATATATATATCATATAAATGAAAGCCCACATGCCCTAGAAAATGCTTCCAAATAACAATCTGAAAATGGAATTAACCAAAAAACTGAAATCATATTTGTAAACCCCCCAAAAAATGCAAGTTTTTTTTTTAAAAAAACAGAGTGTACTATAAAGTGAATTGATTGTATATTTTGAAAAGAAAGTGTACATAACGCCTTGAGAAATTAGTTCAGAAAAGAGCTTAGTGTTTTGTTTTGGTTTTGCCCACAAAATATACAGTCAATTCACTTGACAGTATAGTCTGTGAAGCGCTTTGAGGCATCTTAAAGACGTGATAAGGCTCTGTATCAAATATTGATTATTATTATTATATGAGCATATCTTCCTCCTTTATCTCCCTCTCTAAAAACCTTCCCTGTTTTATTTTAACTCTCTGGCAATTCCCACATTCCTCTCCCTCATTCACATTAACCCCTGGACCACCTGGTCGAGTGCTTTATTTTTTATGAGCCCATTTTGTAAATTCAGCAGCTGACAAATTTTCTTGGAAAAAAAAACTTTGAGGAGCCAAAGGGCCACAGAGGTCGTGTCTGAGAGAGACAGAGAGTCCGAGCCGCGACTGTTGTTTTCTTCTTGTGTGTTAAGAAAGAATTGCTCATCCAACTCTAATCAAAGGGTAAAATGGAAATGGGCTATTTTACAATTCTGTAAGCTTGTGAACTATAAACAGCGAACTAACATTGTTTTGGCATGATTTATGGATGGTCGAGTGCTCCCAAGTACAGTACATGAAGCTCTTTACTGTCTACAATCTGTCAGACCTCCTTAACCAATTATGGTATAAAAATCACCAAAGCCAAAACCTTGTGTTTAGATTACAGCCATTGTAAGGGACTGTCTCTTGAGAAAAGGTTATTTTTTTCCATTAGCCTTCCACCCTCCACACCCCTTCCTTCGCTGCTCTGACTGATTTTGCGCCTTTTCCAGAGGCACTGTTTTTCCATTCATTAGTATTATAAACAGCCTGGGAGCTTTCCTGGGAGCTGCCGGGAGTGAACAGGCAGGTCGATGGGTCAAATGCACCCTGTGCTGTCATTCCCATAGAGGGGAGAGCAAATATAATGTTTTAATTCACAAATATTCATCAATTAGTCTGTATATTTATTCCCCTCCCCCCAGCCCCCACCCACCTCTTTCTCTCTCCCTCTCTGACTTTTTTTTCTTCCCAGGATCACTAAAAAAAAAATGAATGCGTTTATTCCCACTAGTTTGACAGACTGCGGATTTAAATGTCTTATTTTATCAAGCGCCCACAGTATACACAGTTAATCCACTTTACAGTATATCCCGTGAAATGTTTTGGCACGTGATAAGGCGTTGTATCAAATGCAATGATTATTATTAAAAGGATGATTGTGAAAGTAATTGGTATTTATTTATATATATATATATATTTTGGGAAAGGGATTTTCTTTGAGAACTGAACATGTGTGAAATGTGCTGTTTCGTGTCTGTGGCAATCAGATTGACTTGGTTTTCAACTCTAGCGGAGTCAAAATGTAATCATAAAAAATGTAGAGCCGGGCAATTGTTCACAGGTGTCAGAATTGTAGGTTGTTTCCAGCCACAAAATACACAGTCAATTCACCTTACAATATGCCTTGGGAGGTCCTCCTGATGTGAAAGGCACAATACAAATGTAAGTCGTTGTTGCTGCTGTTTACAGTATATTCTGTGAAGTGCTTTGAGACATCTCAAATGACGTGATAAGGCGCTATATCAAATTCAAGGATTGTAACCAAGAAAGAGAGGGGCCGGGAGGAAGTGATGTACACCCAGACACGGTGTGATTGCCCAAGTTTATTTACTTTATGACATACTCGCTATCTTGTAAAGCAAATGAGTTGTGTATTTTTTTGGAACCAGTAACTTTATACCCAGTTATTTATTTATACATATATATATAAAATATATACGAAAAGGACACATTGCGATTTGCATGTCAGCCTGTCAGATGATAACAGAAGTCAGAAGGTGTCGGCTAAACCTCACGCTTAACTTTTTTTTGGTATTAAAAGGTATTTAATAACAAGTATTTAATAACAATATCTTTTGTGTGGGGTTTGCCCACAAATATACAGTCAATTAATTCATTTTACAGTATATTCTATGAAGCGCTTTGAGACATCTCAACGACTTGAAAAGTCGCTATATCAAATGTAAGGATTGTTATATTATTATTATCATTGCAACTCCACACAATCTCAAAGTATAATTACACAGTAGGAATGTTTATGCACATACGCAATATTACATACGCAATATTATATATTTCAATCCCATGGGATACATTTAAATTGCAATCAGGAAAACACTCAAAGATAAGGTACAACAAACTCTAGTAGCGAGACATCAGGATAAGAGAAACAGACACCAAAGTACTGACACACCTATCCCCATATCATTGCTCTGCTCAGTAATTTCAAAGCGTGTCTTGATGCAGAATCTTGATATTTTCAGAAATGTCCTTTATCTTTTGTTTGTGCGTTTACTTTCTTCATTCCAAAAAAAGCAGCTCCACAAATTTATTTAGAGGTGTGGGAGGGGGGAGGGTGGCTGGTGTGGGGGAAGAGAGAAAAAAAGAAATACACACACAAAAAATGGTAAAACGCATTTATTTGTTTCGAAAAATACACGTTATTTTCACGTTTCCAAGTTTCCAGCTCATTTTGCATTTGAAGTATGACAAATAAAAAACAAGTCATTTTATTTACAAGAGTCTCAAAAGCTTTGGAACATGAATATATATATATACACACACATATATATATATATATAAAAATTGAATTACGCGATTATTGCTATTGTCTGTACAGTTCTCTTTCAACAATCTATCCCAGGAATTTCCATGCGTAGGTAGGAGGCATGGAAATCTCAGCTTGGCTTGGAAACTCTTAAGCACGGTGATGGGTTTCCGCATGTGTCAGACACTCGGCTGACCAAAACATTTAAAAAAAAGTTTCTTGTTTTATTGGGGTGGGGGGCGGGGGGGGGGTTGTAATAGTGTGTTTGTGTGTGTGTGTGTGTGTGTATGTGTGTATATCGTACAGATTATTCACAGCAAATTCAAGTAAGGCGGAGTGGCTTTGACGTGCGGTGGGGGAGTCTCAGTACTCTGCCCGGGGAGTGTGAGTCAGACTGTGCCTCCGAAGGTCGCAGTTACGCCGGAACACTTTGCCACACAGCTCGCAGTTGTAAGGCTTGATGTCTGTATGGGTAAGAAGGTGAGTTTTCAGGTTACTTCTTTGATTAAAGGTTCTTCCACACGTGGGACATTTGTGAGGAGATTCCTGTTTAGATTTGAAGCAAGCAAAGGATTAATCCTTTTTTAATTTAGAGTAATCTCCTATCCCCCCCACCCCACCCCCTTTCCCCTCTCTCTCAAAACTGTATTTTACACCAGAACAATACAATGTTGTTTTCTTTTCCCCCCCACACACAAAATACACAGTCAATTCACTTATAATATATCCTGTGAAGTGCTTTGAGACGTCTAAACCACATGATAAGGCACTATATCAAATGCAAGAATTATTATTATTATTATTATTAAAGAAATAAAATGAAATGCATTCCCAAGTGTGGTTATTTTAGCAATGTCGCCACCAAGATTCTCCTGCCCAGGAGATAATACACAGAAGATACGAGATGGGTCACAATGTTTGGTTAATTATGAACAACTTTAGTGGAAACGCAATTTTAAATTTGATGCAAAGCTCCTCCAAAAATAGTGGCCTCGCCATAACATTTAATCCATAATAATAATAAGCATAATAACCATTTTAGGCAATATTGGTTATGTATAATATTGCAATATTGGTTATATATAACTGATTATATATAATACAAAATATTGGCCGCATCATAACATTTACTGCCATAATAATAATAAGTATAATAACCATTTAATGCTATAGTAATAATCATTATCATCATCACTAAATGCAATCAGATCCCAGGATGCTCACCAATTAAATGAGTGTTACTTAATAGATATATATATTACATATCTTTTACTAAAGGTTAAAATACTGATCTTACCTGCATGTGTAACGTTTTGTGAACAGCTAAAGTTCTGGACTGACAGAATCCTTTCCCACATTCTTGGCATTTGAAAGGTTTCTCTTTGGAATGAATATACCTACAGATGGACAGAAAGGTAAATCTTCATCACACGTCCACACAACACACACACACACACACACACACATGGTCCAGTTAATCTGCACATGGCTCAGGGTGGTGTTGCAGTCATTGCTGACCAGTGGTTGGGCTTCACTGTCAGTGCATTGAAACCTGTGCAGTTCCCCCTCTGACCACTGCAGAGACTCGAGGCGGATCAGAGCCGCGTTGCAGGCGCTGACACAGCGCCCCCTTCAGTCAGCGAAGTGCCACTACACCCCCTTATCACCTTCACACACACACACACACACACACATGGCACACACACAGATGGACACACATAAGCTCTGTTGCATACAGAGAATTCTTCCCCCCCCACACACATCTATATACTCCCACCATGTCTGTAGGACAGGTAGTCTATTTCACCACCAGATGCACTATTTTTTAAATATAATTTAAACAATTGCCCCGCGTTCCCCATCCAATGGACAATTACAATAACAATTGCAGTCAAAGCTTCAAGGTCATAGCTGGATTTTGAGAGGGAGGGGGAGGTGACATCATCTCATAAGAGTGGATAAATCGTTCATATTCTGATGAGCTTCTTACAATCTTTGCCTATATAGACCCCTGGCTCACCAATATATATATTTCTCTTTCTTTACGACTTATCGCCCACGAGTGAGCACCAAAAAATGTTCTGATTGTTCAGTGAGTGGAATACTGCTTCACGGCATTTTCGCATTAGGAGTTTCAACAAACGACAACGATGATAACCAAATAAATCAGTGGGTTCCTCAAACCGTGAGCACAGTTCCCTCCCCTTCAAATCTGCACTCCCCCCAACCTAACCAATGTGCTTCCCTTCAGAGTCCAGCTCCACTTTCCTCTGATAGAAATACAGACTGTGCTAGCATTGCACACGTGAACAAAACCATGGAATGTGATTTTGCAACAGGTGTTTTGAGGACCCAGATATGCATCTCCTGACCATTCCCGACTTAGTGGCACAATGTGTGCGACTAATGGGTCACATTCAATTAACCTTAGCCCTTCGCTTTGAGATGTTTCCATGCACAATGTGCTAATAAAAATCCTGAGTTGCTTTCTTCTGTTGGTGCTAAAGTTTTCTTGTTTTTTCGTTTTCATGTGCGTGTGTCTGTGTGAGTATGTTTGTGTGTGTAATTTTGTTTGTGTGCATCATATATTTGTGTGTATGTGTGTATATATTTTTGTGTGTATAGGTTTGTATATATGTGTGTGCAGGTTTGTATGTATACATTTGTTCTTGCGTGCATGTGTATGTATATATATATGTGTGTGTGTACATATCTTTATGTATATTTCTGGGTGTAGTGGGAGATGGAGGAGAGAAAGGCTACAAACCTGTGGTCCCTCAGATGGTCTTGTCTCCTAAATGCTTTGTGACAAATGTCGCAGGTGTAGGGCCGCTCGTCTGTGTGAGTCCTCTCGTGTATGAGCAGGTTGTAAGATTTAGTAAAATGCCTGCCGCAGAACTTGCAGATGAATTCCTTTTTGGTCTTGGAGGGCAGCCTCCCCCTGGAAGGTTTCCTGTCGGGGGACAGTTTGCTGACCTCGGCGTGAGCGCCCCCTACGCCCGGGCTCAGCTTGGCAAAGTCTGTGGCCTTGGGCGGGTCCTCCTGCGTGGCCGCCAGTGCCAGGTTGGCGAAGTCGAAGCGAGGTCGCTCCTTCTGGAGGGAAGGTACCACGTGGGCCTGCTTGGGGTGGAAGACGTGGGCGGCGAAGGGCAGAGCGGGGAAGGGAAATCTCCCGTCCATGAAGCCCTGGGCGGCTGCCATCTCGGTGAAGGTGGACCTGGCGATGCCGTGCACGTGCGGGTAGCCCAGTGTCCACTGGTTCATGTGCATGGTCTGCACTGTGCTCAGTCCGTACAAGCCCTGAAGCTGGTCCACAGCCGAGGGGAAGGTGTTGACGGCCTGCAGGAAGGAGTAGTTGGTCAGTTGGAGGGGAGGGTGCAGGGGGATCGGGGCTGGCAACGTCTTGCTTCCCATTTCCGTCCGCCGATCACCGTTGAGATCACAATCCGGGCGTCCGTCACCAGAGAAGTCAGTCCTGAATTCTAAAGCTGGTGCCTGAAAACAACCCCAAAAAAGAGAAATTACCATTTTTGAAACCGTATCATTTTGGCCTGTTAAAGAGGCAAATATTTCTTGCATCCTCACATCACCATATATTATAATCATAATAATAGTAATAATCCTTGCACTTGAAATTACACCTTATCACGTCGTTGAGACGTCTCAATGCACTTCACAGGATATATTGTAAAGTGAATTGTCTGTATTTTGTGGGCGAAACGCGGTAGGCAGTTATGCAGAGCAGTGTCCCACAAACAGTCTTGAAGCGAGAGACTAATTTTGTTCGGGACACCGGGAGAGAGAAATTCCCTTCTCTTTTCAAACGGTGTCACGGGATCTTTAACATCCACCTGAACAGGTAGACAGGACCTGGGCTCAATTTGAAGGACAGCATCTCTGTACAGTACAACGCAACCCCAACACTGCATCGGAGGGTCAGCTTAGATTATACGATTTCAAGTTCGATGCGGGGCTTGAACCCACAACCTTTTCGCTCAGAGGATATGGGAGGGGGGTGGGAGGAAAACACATGGGGTGGGGGGGCACGAATAAAACTTAAAGGGATACAGTGGGCCTAATGGCCTCTTTTTGGGCTGTAAAATTCTGATTGGTTGGTTTCCACTTTGATGGTAAAATAATCGTGTCATGTAACCTTAAAACAAAGCCCCCCCCACCCCCCCAGACTTGCTTTTACAACAGGAGGCGTTTCTACGTTCAAAAAAACAAAATACAATATATATATATGTGTATATGTATGGTTGCTATAATGCAGCAACCAATATTGCACTCCCCACACACCACCCTTAAAATTGTCACACGTTTTAAACTGACTTTGACTTTTTTTTGTGTGTGTGTGTGTGTGTGCACACAAAAAAAATATCACTTTCACACAAAAAAACAGTGAGGCTGAGCAGTTTGGTTGTTTTTCGAGCCTGTGCACAAGTCACTGCGTCAAACCCACAAGGGCAATGCAATGCAAAGAGCTTTTAAATGAGGAGGAGATTTAATGGCTCACCACTTTAACTTTACGAGCTGTTCCAAACAGTCAATAAACACGCGAAAAACACAAATAAATCCGAACCCTTTGGAAATGCAGAGAGGAAAATAAAAGCCCACCCCCACACACACACAGATACCCTCCCTCCACCCTCCCAGGTCTGTCTGCTTGGCGCACATCACCTAAATCTAACCTTACACATGGCGTTATAACACCTCTCTTTGCAAAAAAAAACCTCAAGTTGTAATCTTTCATCCAATTCACTTTACTGTATACCCTGTGAAGCGCTTTGAGACGTCTCAACGGCGTGATCAGGCGCTATCATTAAATGGAAGGATTATTATATATATTACACATATATATATCTTGTGTCTGTGTTTGAAAACACACGAATGACCACAAATCTCTCACTCACTTAAGGATGTGTAAGATGCCCCCCCCCCCCCCAGGGCACAGGATAGTGCATCTCTCTCTCTCTCTCTCTCTCTCAAAGACCAGAGTATATTTTTTCCTCTCCAGGAGAAGAGAAGGGTTTGGAAGGGGTCTGTGACAAATGGAGGAGGGTTTTATAATGTCATTTTATGGTTAATAAGAATCATAATTTTGCATTGGATAGAGCGCCTCATCGCGTCAAATGTATACAGCGTTGTGAAGCGAATTAACTGACTGTGTATCTTTATGGGCGAAACTTTGGGGGGAAACTGGGGGGTTGGGGGGGGGGGGTGGTGGTGGGGAGAGAGAAAGCTGAACTGGTTATTTTTTTCTTCTTACAAGAACAATCTCGTCTATCAAGAGAATTGAAAGGCTGGAGGAGAGAGAGAGAGAGAGAGAGAGGCAAGAAGACATCTCAAATACAACATGTTCCACTCTATCCTCTCCAAAACCTCTCTTAAAAACTGTGCTTTTTTTTTAATGCTGATGTTTTAGCTGAAGATTTAATATATATGTACACATATCCTTATTGGTGGGACCATTAAAGACACCGGAGAGGGATATTTGGGTCTCCTCCACGCCGTGGGAAACAACCAACTTAAAAGAAAAGTTAAATATAACAGTGCGTTTGTCTCGTCCCCATTGCATTCGGGTTCGTATGTGAAAGCTTTTTACGAAAGAAAAACAGCGACAGAGAGAGTCTCACTCACTCACTCACTCATTCACTCACTCACTCGGGTCTTTTCCACCCGTACTAACAAAACATCTTGCAAACAGCACACGCCACTCGAGAGGGGAAGGGGGTCCTGTCTCGGATTGCAACTGAACTTCTCGCCTTCAATCGCAGGGCTTAAAGGGCATCGATTCCCGTCGTCGATTCTCAGCCACAAAACAGTGGCTCCAAAATCTGCTTCGAATAAAGTCTCTGTCTGGGTTCGCTCGGTAAAGCCATCAGGTTTCTCGGGCGAGGGAGCACAGCAAAAACGAAACAAAAAAAATATATTCTTTTTTCCTTCCATCCCACACCCCCACAAAAAAAAGAGAGAGAGAGAGAGAGCGTTAACAGGATGACTGATATTTTCTGGAGAGAAAAAAAAAGGTCTTGCACTGTTGGGTTTATTGAATAATAATTCCTCTCACACTCTCACACTCTCACACACACACACACACACACATTCACTAATTTATTTATCTCTCCTCCTCTTTTGAAAGGCACTATGTACCAAAAGTAAGGATTGTTCTGGTGGCGAATATTATTACCTGCACTGAACTGCCAGGGTTTGTCAGTGTTTTGGAAATTAAACTTTTTTTGGGGGGTGGGGGGGTGGGGGGGGGGGATATGTTTCTCGTTTGGTCTGTGGGCGTTTGCTTTGCATCTATTTATTCCTCCTGGGTCCTTCGAGCTTGCTAACTAAACCCCTGCAACCCCCCCCCCCCCCCCCCCAACGTTTATATCTACCAGTTACTGCCAAATAAAGACACCCCAAATTGGAAGTGGTGGGTGCAACACGAGAAAGACAGTGTGTGTGTGAGTGCGTGTCCCACCCCCCTCCAAAAAAGCAGAAGTATTACAATCTTTTCCACGATCATCACCTAATAGCAACGAGTATGATAAACCTTAAGATGCATTCATCTATCTATCTATATATATATATTTATTCTCTCTCTCTCTCTCTCTCTCTCCCTTTCTGCTTGATCTTCAAATGCTGTTATTTAGATGTGTTCAGTCTTTGTTTTAATCCCTAGTTGGGTGGGGGTGGGGGTGGTGGGGGGTGTTGTGGTGGAGATTATTTCCTTGCAAGAAATCAGATCACCCACCCCAAGCCAAGGCCGAATTCCCTTGCACTGACCTGGAAGAATGGGGTTGACAAGTCAAGTCCCTCTGTCTGATTACATCTCCCTGTTAAAAGCGTTCAGTTCTCCAGAGATACCCTCAACCCAAACGATTAATTGTGCTTATCAAATCCCAACACCACCCCCCCACCAACCCCCAGCACCTGGTAATTCACTTTGCAAGCACCTATTACACTCTTTCATTGACACCATCACATCCCACCCCCCACCCACCACCCACCACCACCCCTTAAAGGAAAATCTCAATTGCATTTAACCAGTCCTACCTTTAAAAATCCGGTTCAACCACATCACACGGAGCAGAAATTAAGAAACAAAAACCTTTTTTTAAGAAAAAAACACATGCGATATATTCCATTTGAGTACCTTGTTGCTGTGGGGCGAACAGACCTCGGAACAGACCAATATCAGTCCAATCTTTTGAGACGCCTCGACAACGCGATAAGGCGCTGTATCGGACGCGAGGATTATTATAATTATTATTAAATCGACAAAAGGGGTTTTGGTCGCAATGTGAGGCTTTGCACGTGGCTGACAGGTCAAACGACTTCCCTTTTTTGAAAGCAAACGTGAAACACTTGGTTCCGTTTGAACCTCTCCATCCGTTTGTAAATGATTTGCGTCTTTATTTGTGGGTGTACTTTCCTCCGAAAGATGCGCACAGGAGCTGCACTGCAGAGGGTAAGGTCTCAAATTGATGAGACAGACAGAGTCGTGTGATAGCTGGAAAGGTACGGGAGAGAAAGAGAGAGAGAGAAAGAAAGAGAGAGAGAGAGAGAGAGAGAGAGAGAGAGAGAGAGAGAGAGATCCTTGCAAATTGACACACAAAATGACACTGTGAATTGTGTTTTTTTTTTGTGCGCTGTGAGAAGAGCTTTCGGAGGTTAATAAAAAGGATCCCTGGAGTTATTGAGAGGTGTGTGACTGTCAGCGGCTTTTTCCCTTCCATTGCAAAAGCAACGAAGCGAAACTGGAGGTTTTTTTTTAAAAAAAATCTGTAGAGAAAGAGAGAGAGAGAGGGAGAGAGAGAGACTTTCCCACCGACTCGTGTCTCTCTCACTCCAGAGCCTCCACACAGACACATTCACACACACACACACACACAGTCTCTCTCTCTCATGTGGGCAACATATCTCACGTTAAAGCGCAAACTAACCAACACATAGACCCCCCCCCACCCCCCCACCCCAAAGTCATTCAGAGGCGCAGGGAAAGCTCTGTAAGACTCCCGCAAAAATAGCTTAACATTAAGGTCCTTTTTTTAAAAAAAACTGACTCTGCAAAGACGACAGCTCAGAGGAGCAAATGTTATCCATTTCATTTAATCTTTGGTTGCAATAAATAATAAAGATTTAGCTTTTTTTTTTGGTTTCAATCTTAATCCATTTTATATTTGGCTGACAATCCCCCCCCTCCCACCCGGATAAAAAATGGTCAATTGGTCAATTTGTGGGACATTGATGGTCAGCAAATTGACTGCCACATTTGCTCACAAAATACACAGTCAGTCGATGGTTGTAGTTTTTTCACAAAAAAACGTGTTCTGCGAAGTGAAGCGCTTTGGGGATGTCCTCCCGATGTGAAACGCGCTCCAACGAATGTAAGGATTATTATTAATTATGATGATTATTGTGTGGGGATCAGGAAAAAAATCTCATCTCCCCCCCAAAAAAAGAAACACACAAGGAACTCGTATAAGAGAGTGATTGTTGACTACACAGAGGTGTTGTTGATCAGATTTTCCAGCCAACTCCTCTTAACACGACTGAGTAACACAACCACAACTTGTCTTAAACAGAGTGGACTAACGCCTGACTCTCTTAACGCAATAAATATTTTTATTTATTCATTCACACAGCGATTCCAACACTCACTCACACTCACACACTCACTCACTCACTCGCTCACTCGCTGATCCAATATTTAGATTTCAAACCAGATTTAAAATGCAAACACCTACACAACGTCCCATATCCCACATTTATGAACAGGATAGGCAAAATGTAACCCAAATGAACACCTCCCCCCCCCCCCCCCCCCCCCCCCCGAAACAAATTGCTTTACTCGGAGAGATGTCCTTTTATTTATAACTGCGTACCGTTAAATTAAAAAAACACACAATTTGGATAATTTCGTCCCAGAAATATACAGTCAATTCACTGCAACATATTCCGTGAATCGCTTCGGGACAGCCCCGAAGACCTGATGAGGCGTTATATCAAATGCAATGATTATTATTATTATTATTAAACATTATGTTAGATCTGAACAGATCGTGTCATTTGAAATTCGTTAGTGTTTTTATTTTGCGTTTCCTTTTTCCCTGTGATGGCATTTCTGATGCCAATGGGACTGTCTGAACACCCCCCCCCCACCCCCCCCCCACCCCCACCCCCAGTCCTGACCCATCCGACTGCCCCAAAACGCCTCTCGATCTCTGTCTGGATTTTGCGCGGTTCAGTTCGCAAAGCGAAACGTGAATTAGGGCCTCGAAACAGCCACAAAAAAAAAGCAACGACAAAACGTCAAAAGGGTTTGATTTATTCCAGACTTTTTTCGTGATGATAAAAAAAATCCCCCCCCTCCCAGAAAAAAAACAGAGACGAGATCGAAAAGTATGTACTCCAGTGTTTTATATCAACGTGAGATCTTTTTCTCTCTCTCTCTCTCTCTCTCCTATGTGTGGGGAAAAAATAGTGTGTGTATCTGTGTGAGTGAGTGAATGTGTGTGTGAGTGTGAGTGAGTGTGCAATCCTCAGAACAGCTGTGAAACGGTGAACCAGACTCTATCCCGGGTTAAATGGGCCCTAATAAGTCTACCCTTAACTCCTTTGCACGTAGAGCCGAGTGGATCTCATTTATAACAGCGAGAATTCACTCTCTCCCCCCTCCAAAAAAAAATAAATTAAAAAATCCCAATTAATCTTTTCCCGGTTTGCAGTTAAGTGCTGAGCCCACGGGAATTAACTAAACTATTCTCAACTTCATCCAATGTGTCGGATGAGATCTTTCTCTCTCTCTCTCTCTCTCTCTGTGTGTGTGTGTCTGTCTCTCTGTTCAATGATTTTCTTTTTCTCTCTCTTCCCCCCAAATCCAGAAGGCACCTCTTTGCCCCCAATATCGTTTCCCAGACCCTACACTCTCTCTATCTGGAGGAATGCCTTCCATCTCATCTCGTCGAGAAACATTGCAGGACACGCAAAGGAAGAGAGAGAGAGAGAGAGAGACAAAAAGAAACGAGATCAAAAGGGAGAGCGCACACACCAAAAAAAATCACCGACTCGGTTTAAGAAAAAAAAACGCAGCAAAAAAAAAATAATGCAGAGAAAAAATATCTTTTTTTTTCCCCCCCCAAAAAAAAAAAATTATTTCTGTTACGAAGTTTTGCCGATTGACCCGAAACCACGAGAGTTCACAACCATCGCCCGACGTGGAAATTCACACTGGCGACTGTGTCGGTCGATGGTCGTGCAACGGGCTCTGGCGGATAACCGGTCAGTGTCGTGCAGGAGCTGCTGCGGTCCTCGCAACGCGTTCAAATCAACTAATAAAAGGCCTTTTGAGATGTTATATGTACGGTATCTATTTTATATGCGTAAATAATACACATTTATATGGAGGGAAATGCGGATCAGGGCTAAACATTAGGATATTTTATGAATGGAGGTTGGACCACTCATACACATTGACACAGACCCTGACAACTCCAGTCTCACCGAGTTCATAACCTCTCTGACCGTGTGTACTCACTGAGTTATTGTTTGGAAAATAATAATAATAATAATGATGATGATGATAATAATAATAATAATGACAGCGGTGGCAGTAATGCCCTTTAGATTGTAGATGATGATCAATGTCCTTTTAGCTCTTCGTTAAAGATCCCATAGCGCTATTTGGAAAGAGAAGGGAGTTTCTCTCTCTCTCTCTCTTCTGGTGTCCCGACCAACAAATCCCCCAAATAAAACTGGTCCCTCACTCCATGGCTGTTGGGGGGACGGGGGAGGTGGGGGGGGGGGGTCGCCGCTGTGCGCAAATTGTCTCCTGCGCTTCGCTCCCCCCAAAAAGTAAGAGGCGTTTCACTGCACTTTGCAGTGTATTCGGGCTGTGTGTAGTTTCAGCTCTTTGGGCTTTTTTGTTATTATAATAATATATATATAAAAAAAATCAGACAACGTGTGGGGTCACCTGGCGTTTGCCTTCTCTCCCCTCCCGCCTGCCAGTCAATATGCAATAACCCCGACCCCGAGTGAGTGAGTTACAAGAGCGACTGCAATTCCGAGCCAAGACAACCCCAGTTCCCATGGACTCTGTCACCACTAAGCTTTGCAAGGACACCCCCCCCCCTCCCCACCACCACTCCCCACCCCACTCCCCACCCCACTCCCAACCCCACTCCACTCCCCACCCCACTCCCCACCCCACTCCCCACCCCACTCCCCACCCCACTCCCAACCCCACTCCCCACCCCACTCCCAACCCCAGGCGTAAATAATTTCAGAAATATGCTCTTCGATTAAAAACAAGTGGGAATCCAGAAAGAGAGAGAGAGAGAGAGAGAGTGTGGGAGGGAGGGAGAGAGGGAGAGAGAAAGAGAGAGAGAGAGAGAGAGTGTGGGAGGGAGGGAGAGAGGGAGAGAGAGAGAGAGAGAGAGAGAGAGAAAAGAAACTCCAGGGGATGAGAAGGAAACAGCTGCAAATAGGAGAGAGGAGAGAGAATACATTTACAAACCAATTTTCCCCAATTCCTTTCTCAACTGCAGCTCTCTCGGGTTTGCACCCAATCGGGGGCAATGCGTTTGGATTAACGCGACCCCTCCACGGGATGGGTGGCTGTTTGTAAGGTTTATTTTGAATGCATTATCGGTATTTTTTTTTAGGGGGGGGGGGGGGGAAGGTCAGATCGGGAACGTGTCGCTCTCCCCACGACCTGATAGAAATGCAAAGGCGAGGAATGCTCTGACTTTGAACGATTTAAAGAAAAAAGTTGAATTTGATCATATATAAAGTGTTACATTTGAGGGGTTGGGGGCTGGGGGAGGGGGGGGGGCGCTGTGGGGGGGGGGGTGGTTTAACAACCAAAAGGGACACAGTATTGGGTGGGCTGTACAAGCGAGAGGAAAAACAGAGGGAGGGTGTGTGTGTGTATGTGTGTGTCTGCGGATTTTGCTCACGTTACTTTGAGATGTGCAAAGGTTATGTCGGCCTCCAGATGTCTCTTCCTGACTCCCATCTGATCGCCAGTGCTATACAGTACATGGGGTGGGGGGTGTGTGTGTTGGGGGGGGGGGGGTATCTCAGTCTGTTGGGCAAAGCAAAGGGTCGCTTCTGCTCATGCGATGGTCGAGTTACAGTAACGAAAGCGCTTTCCCCATTTCCTATTATTTTGGGCCAAAACTCTTCTCTCTGCAGAAACCTCTCTCACACACACACACACCCCCCCACACCCCCCCACACCCCCCCACACCCCCCCACACACACCCACACACACACACCACATCCCCCCCCAACACACACACCCACACACACACACACACCCCACACACACAACCCCCCCACACACCACAACCACACCCCCACACATACACAGCCCCCCCCACACACACCCACACACACAACACCCCCCCCACACACACACACAACACCCCCCCCCCCCCCCACACACACACACACACACCCCCCCCCCCCCACACACACACACCCCCCACACACACACACGAAAGGCGGGGGCCTCGCCAGGACTGCGAACTGAATTAGTCAGCGTTAAAGTGCTTTGGACATTTGATTTGCAAGTTGTGTATTGGGGCGCGAGGGCAGGTACTGAGGTATCGTTAACTGGACTGTGCCGCTCGGAGTCCCTGTACCTGTCCGGGACCAGTGACACGAACCCCATCGCTTCACAGTGTAAATAAATACCTCTCTCCTCCCTCTCTCCCTGTATCTCTCCCTCTGTGTGTGTGTCTCTTTCTCTCTCTCTCTCTCTCTCTCTCTCTCTCTCTCCCTGTATGTGTGTATGTGTGTCTCTCTTTCTGTCTTTCTCTCTCTCTCTCTCTCTGTGTGTGTCTCTCTTTCTGTCTCTCTCTCTGTCTCTCTCTCTCCCTGTGGTGTGTGTGTGTGTGTGTGTGTCTCCCTCTGTGTGTGTGTGTGTGTCTCCCTCTGTGTGTGTGTGTCTCTCCCTCACACACACTCACACAGTTAGCGCACAGAGCCTTATTAAAAAGAAAAACACATCTCGACAAATGGACGTGCAATTACATTTATTTTCAGCTTTGGGATTAAAAGTAAGACCCCCCCCCCCCCACCCACCCCCACCCCTTCCCCCTTGTTTTGCCCACCCTGACAGACAAGGGCAGAGTCTCTCTCTCTCTGTGTCTCGCTGCCTTGATCCGAATCAAACACTCCACTCTCTCCAAGTAATTTATCCTGCGACCTCTCTTCAAGTTGCTGCACAGTTGTTTGGCACCGATGGGTTAGTTTTGATCACAGACACACACACACACACACACATATATATATATACACACACACATAACCAAAGCAAAATCCTTACCCGTTTGAAACGATGAATTTCTCCCCAATTGTCCAAATGCTTCAATTCAGTGGAGGGGGCAACTGTTAAAGGGGGGTTGGGGGGGTGTGGAGGGAGGGAAGGAAGGAAGGAAGGAAGGAAGGGAGGGAGGGAGAGAGGGAGGGAGAGGGAGAGGGAGAGGGGGGGTGGGGGTGGGGAGGGGGGGGGTGGTGGTGTAGATGAAGAAGAGAGAAACCGTATAATGATTTAATCCACAGTTGTCAGAGGAGGAGGAGGAGGAGGAGGAGAAAAAAAAGGCAACGAACAATCCACGAAGCGATCAGTTAAAAAAAAAAGTTCTCCAACTTGTCCTCACTACATACTGCGTCAAGTGGAGGGGAGGGGGGGGGGGGGGGGGGTTGCAGGCTTGAAATGTGCAGAAATATATCTCTCTCTCTCTCTCTCTCTCTCTATATATATATATATATAAGGGGGAGGGAGGGAGAGGCGATCGGAGGCTGTGTGGAGGTTACACAGCCCGGGATCCAGGCTGTGGTGGGGGCTGGTGCTGAGGGTTTGCTCTCCTGCACTCCGGTTTCACTCTGGACTCGGTCTCCGGCTCCATCACGTTTTCACTGCAAACCTGAAGGGGGCAGGAACACGCCTGCGCACCGGCACCGGGGGGGGGGGGGGGGGGCGGGGGGCGGGGGCGGGGGGGGGGGACTGGCTCCAGCAGTGATCACTGACACGGGTTCAATGTCTCAGTAATGTGTTTACTTCTGTTTGGATGGCAACACGTCCTTAAAGGGACAGCGGATCTTTTCTCCCAACCCCCATCCCACCCCCATCCCACCCACTCCCCCACCACTCGCCCACCCCCCCCCCCCACTCCCTCTCTCTCTCTCTCTCTCTCTCAGTCTGTCTCTGGTCAATACAGAGTGCAAATTCTACTGAGTTTTATACACACACACACACACATATATATATTATCTCTCTATTATAAAGGTTGATTGAAAACGAGCCCTGGTCTACATAAGAGGTGGGTGGGTGGGTGGGTGGGGGTGAGTGGGTGTTAAGGGATGGACGGGGGAGAGACACAGATGTGATGAAAGGCATCACCAATATTTGCTGTCCCCAACGCAGATCGCAGTGAAAGAAATCGAGAGGTTGGTTGCCTTGTGTGCAAACCTGATATATATATATATATATATATATATTTATAACAGAGTCCCCGAGTCGATTAATGTCCATTAATGCAAGTTTCATTGAACGCCGGTAGAAAATCAGCAATTTTTTTTCTAAAATAAACTGGGGAAACGGGGTCACTGTCTGCCCCCAAATGCAAATGGCTATAATCTCTCTCTCTCTCTCTCTCTCTCTCAGATATATATATATATCCCACCGCCCCTTCAGCAATGGAGCACACGAATGCGTTTTGTATACCATAGACATATTTATATATGTTGTACACATCGATGCAATTTGCTGCGGTGGACTTGGCTGCAGAGAAGCGCCGCGTAACAAACAAACAGCCACTTGCAAAAACTTTTAGATAAAAACTTGCAAAGAGTTTTAAGGTGTTGCAAAGGTGAACAAACTAGCACAAAAGTCACATTAAAAATCTAACGCCACGCAATTGCCCGCCCTCTCCCCCCCCCCCCCCCCCCCAAAAAAAAAGGGAGGGGGGCGAGTAATGCTGCAGAAATACCCCCCGAAAAAAATACACTTTTTCGAAAAAAAACAAGAGGTGGAAAGTATGCAAAAAGGATGTTTCCTGGAATAGGCATATGAGTGTGTGTGTGTGTGTGATATGAGTAACTCACAATGCTACGTGAGGGGGAAAAATAAATCTCTCTATCTTTCAAGTGGGCGTGTTCCCTTCTGCCTTTTATTGTTAAATTACTTTGAAGGATATCAGGTCCAGGGGATTTGCTGATTCCAGGTACCTGGAAGCATTGCCTCTGTATTGCTAACTCTTGTCACACTGCACACACACACACACACACACACACCAGATTGTTGTGTGAAAAAAATATTGAGAAAAAATACTGCTAATATTTAAAAAAAATACTGCTAATATTTTTTAAAAAATACTGCTAATATTTAACAGATTAGCAAAGACGACGTTCTTTTTAAAAAAAGGATCAATTAATTGCACATTCAGCGGATTTGAACACCGCTTTTCCGGGACTGACTAAATGTGACATACAAACGAGCATTTCGGAAATGGTGATAGTTCCAAACGTCCTTTGTTTTGTTTTGTTTTGTTTTGTTTTGTTTTGTTTTGTTTTGTTTTGTTTAATTTTTGTTTTGTTTTGTTTTATTTTATTTTATTTTATTTTATTTTATTTTATTTTATTTTATTTTATTTTATTTTGTTTTGTTTTATTTTATTCTATTCTATTCTACTCTGCTCAGAGATATCCGTCCCTGTTTGCGAAAGTAGTCAGTCAGTCAAAAGAAAATAACTTGCAATTCCCAGGGCGGCGGTACAAGGTTTTTTTTTAAAACAAAAATGATCCTAACTTTTATTCGGAGGTGTGTTTTTGCACGATTTATTTTTTGTTTAAAAGCAGTGAAGTCTGGAATTCGTGTCGAGGAACCGAGAGAGAGAGAGAGAGAGAGAGAGAAAGAGGGAAAGAGAGAGAGGGAGTGTGGAAGGATAATGTCTGGAGTGTAAGGTGCATTCCCAACAATATTGCAGAAAAAAAACCTCGACTCACATTGGTCCAAAGGTCAATTTGTCAAGTTCAGGTCCAAGTTATTTCGAAACCCGACGCGTGCAATACTGCAAAGTCCTTTTAAAGTCTGGAACTTTTAACCACACACACAATCTGGTGAAAAAAATGCCTAAATTAGCCAGAAATATATATATATATATATATATATATATATCACTGACGTGCAAACCACAGACGTGCACTGAGCTGGGCTGAGTTTAACACGGTCATCCTTGCATTGGATGCAGTTTAGCGCCTTATCGCGTCGTTGAGACGTCCCAAAGCCCTTCGCCGAATACATTGTGAAGTGGACTCGACTGTGCATTTTTTGAGGCGCACCTCTTTGCGGATGATTTACACGTTTCGCCCACAAAATTACACAGGCAATTCGCTTTGCAATCTGTTCAGTGAAGGGGCTTTGACAACGTGATAAGGTGCTCTGTCGAATGCAAAGATTATTATTATGTCCACACGGTTGTATCTCTGCGTTACTTTGCTATGATGCGTCCCAACAACAATTTACTTTGCAAATTGACAATCCTCTCATCTTTTCATTGAACTTTGGTGCGCATCTTCTTTCTAGAATTATTATTAATGTGATTATAGTTTACTCGTAGGAGGAAAATATGTCTGAACAACAAGTCTGCGGAGGAAGTGGGGGGGGGAAACACCACAACACAAATAAATAGTTTGAGAAAACCAGAGATATGACAATAATATGTACTGTAATCTGTTAGCGATCCCTGTGAAATATCTTCACCTGACAAGTCACCCAAACGGAATTTTTTTTTATTTTCGTCAGAAAAATGCTGAACTTCACTCACCAAAAACGAGGAAGACCCGTTGTCGTTTTATAACGTTTACACCACAAATACACACAGAGGGAATTTACAATAACTTCCGCAGACTTTAGGGTATAAATAGCCACACAATCACATCCTCCCAAAGCACCAGAGTGTGAGAGAGAGAGCCAAACAGGTTCATAAATAGCTAACAATAATCGAATAAGATTAATTTGAGTCGCTTTCCTTATAGAACTTATTCCTTATTTGTTTTTGTATATATATATATACAGAAAGTCGCACCTGAAATCTTATTCCAAACTAATTATTCCTTTGAACACCCAATTCCTTCAGAATAGTGGACGGTGGGAAGTGCGATGGGAAATGGACAATGTCGATTGAATGGGAAAGAGGTGGAAACGGTCATAATATTAACTGTGAATATATATTAAAAAAAAATTCCCTGCGTTTGATATTGCGGACCTTATCGCTTCAAAGCGCTTCACTGCAAAGCGAATTACCTGTGCGTTTTGCGACGGAAAAGGGGGTCCCAATAAAAAGGACTCTTGGCTGCAAAGTATAATTCGTGTTAAGAAAGAAGACCTGAAACTATCAGAATTTGCGACTTCATTGGAAACGGTTTAATCCTTCTTTCGCCGCTGTGGTTTTTTTTTTGTTGCTTGAACGCAGAAGAAGCCTTGTGCATGGGATGGGTTTCCTCATGTGTCAGAAAAATGGGATAATACATTTGCTAACGCACATGGGGTTTTTTTTTTGGGGGGGGGGGGGGGAATCAATTGCCAACCGTTCTGCAAGATGCAATGCTAAATAAAGGTACAATTGCAAACCCACCCCAAATGCAACTCGGTGGACGAGTGTTACAAACGAGAAAAAAGAAACGCCTGGTCGTCGAAAAGGGCGATTTTAAAAAAAAAATTTTTGCTTGACTTTGCTGCTGGATGGCAATTTATCGCGATATACATTCGCAGTCACGATTTGGTTGCCATAAGTGCTCAGTTGTGCCTATTTCCTTGACTCACGTCGCTCCCTTCCACCTTAGTTTCCAACGTGCAAAATCTGCGGGTGAAAAATTCAGTATAAAACAGACAAATCTATCTCTCTCTCTCTCTCTCTCTGTTTCTCTGCCTTTTCTCAGACAGACGCAATTTTCAACCGCTGGAGAGAGAGAGAGAGAGAGAGAGAGAAAAATAAATTCGTGTATAATTCATTCAGGACCGAAGGGCATTTGGGATCTGTGAAGAAATTCCTAATAATAGACCAGTTGTTAGTCGTCGGTGCGCGTGTGTGTGTGTGTGTGTGTGTGTGTGTGTCTTAATGTGTTGTATGTCAACAAATCCAACTGATTTGCCTTTCCCAGAAACAGTAGAAAATGACACGATTCAGTGTGTTGCTATTTCGCCACCGATTTCGCTTTACAGTGTATTCTGTGAAGCGCTCAGAGACGTCTAAAGTCACGATAAGGCGCTGTAACCAATGCAAAGCGTTATTGTTATTTTTAATATTATTATTATTATTATTTTGAAAGCAAAGGGCTGCAAACAGAGGGTGAACTAATTTTTAGTCCAAGAATAAACCGAACACTCGAGAAAG